TAGCGTCTGTGCTGAATAAAGCTACTACTACTTACTAGCTTTTTTGTGTGTTTGAGGCTACCTATGTCCTATACCTATGTTTACGTAATTTAGCTCCACCTTGCTTTCTTTCCTAATTTCACTAGGCATAATACGACCTTATACTGCTACTGACTCTTCGTAAGTCAATCCCCAATCACTGACGAACCTCAGGGATTGACTTACACAGACAGTTCGTATGATGAAGAGGTGAAACGAACTGTTTTAGTTTTTCTTCCATTTCTCATTGACATTGAAGGCATTGTCTTTTATTGGTAACTGGCTAGTTAACACTTGACTACGAGGGAAACCCGTGTAAGTGTTATACTAGCTCCGTTCATCGGGTATCTCTAATATGTTGTTTAAATATTCGTCAATAACCTACTTAGAACTTTTGGTTCTTCTTCTCTTCTGTTTCGTCACCCATGGTGATATGGACCTATGGTCCAATGCGTCCACTGACGTTCTCGTTGTTGTGTCGTCCATTGACGACTCTCATTGTTCATTATTTCTTTGACATACGATATAACAAGTGTTTTTTATTATAAAAACACAACATCTTGTATCGGATTGCTAACATGATGATTCTGTTAGATATACAAGATAAAACGAGATTGAAAAATAACACTCGGTAAAACAATCTTATTTATTGGCTAACCATTTCAACATTGACATCGATAGGTTCTTCTCCGTCTTTTTCATGACGAGGCTTCTTTTTCATGGGCTCAGCTTTATTTTCAACCTCCCTTTTTCTTCCTATTTTTCCATCCTGAAAATCAGAATTTTATTCCAATTCTTATTCTAACTTCTGACTTAAATATTTTCGCTTACTTCGTACGATATTGATGGTCTTCTTATCGTAGTAGGTTCAGTCGCACCTTGTAGTATGTTTTCCAGCTTTAAAGAACGCCATTTGATTTTACCGTCCTTAATGTACAGTACTTAAATAATGAAATAAATATACATGAACTTGTAATCTTACCTGGTAATTTTTTAGTTCAGAAGGTGTCATCAGAGTTTTTATGGCATTACCGTGCCAGTCATTGTACTCCCACCCCAAGGTTATTGCAAGAACTGTAGATTTGAATTTCTAAATCGATTAATTTCGCATTAGTTTATACACTATAAATTAATTACTTCTAGTTATTTGTATATTACATTACCTACTTGAAATTCAACTCACCAATGTATTGTTCGTCCTTTTGTCCTTAATCGTTAAAAAAGCCCCATTCGCTGACATGTCTGGCGGTACTATATTCTTTTCGATGCAGTAGATTCGAATCTTTTGGCGAAGGTATAAACTAAATAATCAAGATACAAGAAGCATCTAATATGTTTGAAAAGAGAAATAATAAACTTACGTTAAGTTTTCGATATCTGCTCTTTTCAATGTCTGGCACCTAACCAGCTTTATTTTGGTATTATTCGCTTTATTGAAGTTCGACAAATTGTTCCTACCTTTGGCAATAAAATGCTCCCAAAAGGGAAAAGAAACTTCTGCCTAAAGTCAAATAACTATAATTAATACAATACATCAATCGCTTAAAAATAAATTACTTGTAAAAGTGGTTATATCCCCACTATGTCCTGAGCTCCGGTACCAAGCCATAGGAGCTATGTCGTCTTTGTTGTCATACCTAAACTATGTACTATACTCTTATGTATTTTTACTTCGGTTAATTTTACATTACATACTCACTTTACCACGTCGCATATGAATTTCTTCACAATTTTCTTTAACGCCTATCTCAGTGGATTGAGCATTGACATGCTTAGACATAACGTAACTGTTTACTTGCTCTTGCATAACATTTTATCGCACATTCTGGTCCACATTGGGTACTTCAAATCCTGGAATCTATAATACAGACTCACAATTTATGTAAAAAGGTTCTCAGGGTAGTCTACTTCCATTATAAGATGGAACTTACAGTTTCCATGACAGGATACCACGGATGCAGCAACAAAA